CTTATATAATGACATATTATGTAACTGAAAAAAGAGGACAAAATGAATGAAAACTGAGTATAGTTTTGAAACATATATATTTGCTGGGAATTACTGTAAAAAACTCTGTAATGTGCACAGTTTTTTTTTTGTCTAAAGTCGGGGGTGTGCACGTTATGTAGATATAGGATTTTGAAGGGTTTTTTTTTTCATGGAAAAACCAAAGATTTTGTGTGACCACCATCATTGTTTGTCAGGATTATTTGGTACTGAAAACTGACACAAAAAGGATTTGACCAATTATTTATGAACAAAGATTATGAATAAGATAATTACTGTATATATTAATGCAAACTACTTGAATGAGTATCACGCAAAACCTGGACATATTGTTTGAAAATGTGATAGCAAATAGACAGACAGAAAACTAATGATCGGCAAAGACAGCAGCCTGTTTGAGACATCAAAAAATACATGTATGTTGATTATAGAAGTTCTGGGATTGTCTTACCAAAATGTGTAATGAAACACAGTTCTTCTTTTGACAATACAAATATGCATGTCTATAGTACATTCTGTGTGATTCCTTTCCATGATCTGTATACCGATTGCTTACATATACAGAGTTGGGGCCTCAATTTATGTCAGCTGGTGCATGTTCGATGTGACAGCGAGACATGAAAGAAAAGTTGATTGGTGGAAATCATATTTTCCTGGTTTGGTCATGAATAGGTAGATAATGACTTGTACCTGTGATTTCAACACTGAACACTGATAATTGGGGCTAGTGTGAAGACAAATGCTTGTGTACATAAGATAAAATAGGGATAATTGGATAGGTAAGTGAATGACAGCAAGACATGTCTGATGTCAAAGAAAACAAGAATAAGCACAAACATTAGGCAGTAATCAAACAGAAAGATATTAAAAGTCAGTAAATGAGATGAAAACAAATTTTGAAGAGAATACTTTCAAGTTTTGGACCTTGTATTGTTGGTCTAGCGTGTTAGCTGAACATTCTGAGATCAATTTCTTGGCTGTCGGAGATCAATTTTTGGTGTGCATATTATGCAAGTTTAAGCTTTTTTTTTTTTTACCATATTCAGCCCAAAAAAATACATGTGCACATTATGTAGGTGCACACATTACATGGCATATGAAATTAGATTTTGCTAAAATGTAAAGTTTTATTTAACATTTAAAAATTGCCATTTTTTTGTATGCTGGACACTGGTTTAGAAATGTTCTCAATCTGTCCATGTATAAACAGAGTGAATGAGAATTTGAATGAGCTTACCCTTTATATTCAACAATAAGCCTGTGTCTGCTGATAAGCCCACACATCATTTACTGTTAACACCTTAACCAACAAAGACTACTTTGTCTTGTTATATCTATCCCCTCCCTGAATAGAATCAGTGACTACTACATAGTTGATAATATTCTCGGATGATATATTAACGGTCAGTAACGATTGTGTGAAAATTATATATACTGTGAACATTTGTACAGTGAATGAAAATTTAGGAAAATGTCTGTTCTGGCCTTTACATGGAAACCAGTACATCAGCTTGTGTGAAAAAGAATACCTTTGAAAAACCCTAACCGAAACAACCACGAATTATTAGCTCCGCAAAATTAGAGGAAACTATGTAGTGCCCCCAAGGCCTTTTTAAGGATAAATATGGCATTAGGTGCAGATGGAACTTAAATACGTACATCACTGCAGCTAGATCTAAACCATTATTACATCAATACAGCCGAGTGATCCAGCATCACCAGCGAGAGACTAATCAATCAAGCTTTGTAGGGCTGATCACTAATATTTTTACAAGGCTGTGCTATAGATCTCTACCAGTAGGTGTCTTAAATGTCACAATGACCTACATGGAGAAAAGCTGATTTTGCAGCCTTGATCAAACCTCTGGCTGCACTGTATATTAGAACTCATTTCAAATTTGTACAGACCATGATTAACCTCAGAAAAAAAATGATTCAGAAGTAATGATTTTCTAGATTACAGAAACAGTCGGGCGTAATTTCTTTTTCAGTTTTTTATTTTTCATTTAAATATACAAAAGCCCCATAAAATTGACTTTTTAGAAATATCTATGTATTTTTTCCATTGATTCCAGAGAAAAGAATGACTTTCTGAAGGTGATTCTTCCAAAGAATCTTTCATGTACTCTGGGGATTGAATTCCATTTTGAAAAAACTAGATGACAAACTTTCCAGTGTCCTAACAATACACATAAACATGATACTTTCCTTGTTTGTTTTTTTTCCAAACATTTATGCAATAAACACAATATGTACTAAATGTATTTAAGTCTTCTTAATTGCTGAGTAATGATCAGTATGAAAGACTGAAGGAAATATACTAAACAAAAAAAGAAAGGTAACACTACTTTATTCTGTGATTAATTATTTAGCCCCTTCATAAATCCTTACCAAGCATGTACGAATAAAGTAATTGATCAATTCTGATAAAACTGCAGTCATGGTTCATTATAAAACTTTGCGTTCAGTTGATTTTATTCGACTGTAAAGGACGTTGGGGTCAATTTCAAAGGTAACACCATTAGTAACGGGTATGGCCACCGTTTGCGAAGTAAACAGCATTGCAGCGTCGTCGCATGGAACTCGTAAACCGGCGGATAATTCGAGGAGAGATATTGTTCCATTCAGCGATCAAGGCTTGGGCCAGCTCCTGCAAGTTTGACGGCTGATATTAACATTCTCTCACACGTCGCCCAAGAACGTCCCAGACATGCTCAATCGGTGACAAATCAGGTGATTTAGATGGCCAATCTAACACCTGTACATTATTCTGCTGCAAGAAAGTTCTGCTGACGCGACTGGTGTGCACTGGTACGTTATCCTGTTGAAAAATGGCGTCTTAAAAATGGCAGAACCACTGGTCTTAAAATTTCGTCTTGATATCGAATGCTGGTTAAATTGCCATTTAACACAACAAGCCTGATACGAGTCCCCCCACAAATACCAACCCAAACCATTACACTTCCGCCACCAAAGCGGTCCGGTTCTGCGATGCAGCAGTTTGCAAAATGCTCCACACTCTGCGCCTTCCGTCACTGTGTTGCAGACAAAACCTGGACTCATCTGAAAACAGAACATTGTTCCATTGTCGTAAGGCCCAACGACAGTGAACACGGGTCCAGTTACGCCGATTATTACGGTGACGTCGCAACAGATTGGGTCCAGTGAAGGGATGCCAAGCTTTCAATTGGTAGGCCCTCAACCTGTTGCGGACTGTTTGGGGAGACACACAACGCCCAAACAATGTCCTTGTAGTCTCTACTGCGGTTACGAATAGATTGCGCAAGTGTATCAATCGTATACAACGGTCATCCCTGGCGGTCGTTTTACGGGGTCGGCCTCTTCGGGGACGATCGGATGTTGACCCAGTTTGGTTTAACCACTGCAACCAAAATGCCGTGCAACTCGACGGCGAGACTCCCGAGCCTGGATCATGCCTACAGCCCTTTCTCTCTCTACTTGTGACAGCCGGGGCATAATGATAAAGTTGATAGATAGCAAGATTCGGTGATTTCTAAGTCCTAAGGATCTAAGGAACAGTTGTCAGTTTGAATGTTTATGAAATTCAAGCGAAGATACAAGTTAGTTGCAGAAAACCTCATGCAGCTCTTTCGTTAATACAGACTTTCACGCTTGAATGATTTTGGTAACCCCCTTGGATTTTGTAATGTAAAACATTACCGTTTTCTAATATTGCACAAACGTCATTTTGTTTTCACTCATTTACAGGTATTCGCCAAGGAAACATGTTTACCTTTCTTTTTTTGTTGAGTATATATGGTGAGGATTATCCAATATCGTTGTAGAAATATTTATAATTCTTTTTGTTTGCTTTAACTTTTTGTGCTTGGATCTTGTTTCCTTTGTGTGAGATTTAGATTAAAGCTGAAACATTATACATTGTACTTTACCAAAACGTTAAAAACATTTATATTTTCATTTTTTTATCATTTTCAGCACTAAACTTTTCCTAATTGATGTAGAATAAGCATTAGCTGTCTCATAATGCATAATAGGGCAATGTATTGAAAAACCAGACTAGTATCTTTACCAACAGTGAAACCTGTCTATAGAGGCCACTCAGTGGAGCAAAGAAAATTGGTCTTTATAGACAGGTGGCCTTTATATAGAGGTTCAATGACTATAAATTGCTTTACATAGGGAACCAAAACAGTGACCTTTACAGACAGGTGATCTTTTTTTTATAAATGGTCTTTTAGATAAATTTGGCTGTTTTAAAAAGCTAGCTCCAGCAAGTACTTAAAATACACCTTCATGCAGGTAGTTTTATGCCCCTGTTACTTTTATTCTGTGATCCATATTCATTATTGTATCCCGTCCTGCTCTGAATCAATTTTTTGTCTTCTAAACAGATTTGGTCCATATTTGCCCTAGAGAATCATAACATCATGTTCTTCACCTTGTCATATTAAGGTTCATCAGTCAAAGTTACAAGGTCAAAGGTCACAAGTGACAAGTTTTGCAAATTCATCACTGATACATGTACTTACTTGTATGGGAGCTGGACAAAAAATTGTTAATAGTAGAGAGTATTTGCTTATAGACTGGATACTCAGAGATCTAAATAAGGAGAATGTCCATTTTTTTTGCCATTTGCATAACTAGAACTAGGTTTGACTTAAATAAAGCTGAATATTTTTAATCGTATATTAAATATTCACAAGAGTAGGAATTGTTACTGGTAATTCTATTAAATTAAAAATTTTAAAAGGCTTTTTCTAAGATAATCAACAAATTTACTCAAAGTTTTTCATCGTGTTTGCTTGTTGATTAAATTGTCTTGTATAATTATGGTTTTAAATTTCAGAAGCAGAATGAAGTATCTTGAGGGATGTATTCTCTACTGCTGTAGAGAAACAAACATGGCCATTTTGACATAAGATCTGGTGTCAGTTGTGTTTCACCCACAGTAGTGTCTGGAGATCTGAATCGCCATCATCATGTTAATCAAAGAATATCGCATTGGGCTGCCCATGAGTGTGGATGAGTACCGCATTGCACAGCTTTACATGATACAGGTAAAGAAATCTCTAAAATATAACAAACTTAAGGGTGTATGGTATTTAAATTTTTTATCTTCTTGCCAAAAAAGTTCAAAACTTTCAAATCTTAAATTTCATTCCAAGAAATTTGTTATTGACTGAATTGATCATAAAAGTAAAATAAGGAATATCCATTCAAAGATACACAAGAATTGATGATTCTTTAACAAGGATACACGGAAATTGATGATATATTTCAAATGTATGTAATAATGACTTTGATATATTAAAATGACTGCATGAAGAAATTGCTGAAGAATCAATAATTAATCTTTGAAAAATGCAGGTTTTATGAACATGTTTAAATGTGCTCATGGATTCATAATACATTTTGAAATACAACATTTAAAAGCACAAAGGGACTAATAATACAGTAGTGATTTGCTACCAGAGAAACATACTGCAGACTTACTGCAGAATATTCTGATACTAAAGCTTGCACTGAAATGTATAAAAATTTTACCTCTATTTTTTTTTTTTTTTAGAAAAAGAGTCGAGAGGAAAGTCATGGGGAAGGCAGTGGGGTAGAAATCCTGACTAATGAACCATATACTGATGGTCCCGGGGGCGACGGTCAATACACATATAAAATATATCACATTGGGAGTCATCTGCCAGGTAAATTAGTGTCATATACAGGAATACAAATACCTGATTGGATTATATGTGTCACATGGCCTGATGATATTCTTTGGTATATTATCATATACATGAATTCCTGTTCTTCAGTAGTTATCAACTCCGTTTTTCTTCAGAGTCCAATAATGCTACATTGTCCAGTAATAAGCCCACCCCTGAAATCTGAATCACATTTCTGGTGCCTCGGAATAGGTTTAAATCATGCTTGGTAAATTCCTTGACATTTGTGTAGAAAGTTACTGAAACAAATACCATTGTTTGATTATTTCTTTGCCAATTTCAAATGTTTTCAAGGCATTTACTTAAATTTATGAAATGACTATTATCCTCTTGATAGCTGGAATTATCTTTCTTTGCCTTGAAATCATGATATTGTATTAACACAGGATGGTTTCGTGCCATTTTACCCAAGTCTGCTCTCATGGTTGAGGAGGAAGCCTGGAATGCCTACCCTTACACTAAAACCCGCTACAGATGTCCGTTTGTAGAAAAGTTTCTACTGGAGATTGAAACAAAATATATCAATGATGGTGGGGAACAAGAAAATGTATTTGACATGTCAACAGGGGAGATAAAACAACGACAATTAGGTAAATTGTAAAACTATAAAATTGACGAAAAGAGGCGCAAAAATCACTATTTCGAATTTTAAAAATTACATTATTTCTTATTAAAGCAGCTCATCATATTACTAACAAATTTGAAAGGATCATGTCATTTTTGCAATCCAAACATCATTAATCTGATACCTTATTCTTATGCAACGTTTCTTTACAGACTTCATAGATTTAGTGAAAGATCAGCTTCCCAGTAGTGACTATAAGAAGGAGGAGGACCCCAAACTTTACAGATCATCCAAGACTGGCCGTGGCCCATTGACTGACAGCTGGTGGGAAGAGTACAGTCAGGAGTCAAGGGTCAAAGGGTCAAGCAAGGCAATGATGACTGCCTATAAATTGTGTCGGGTCGAGTTCCGTTACTGGGGCATGCAGAACAAAATTGAGAGATTTATCCACGATATAGGTAAATTGAGTCACATTCTGAAATAATGTGATATCTTCTCAATTTCTCAATAGATTTGGTTCATATTTACCAAACAGTGCCATAACATAATGGTCAGTGATCAAATTTAAAGGGTCAAGGGTCACAATGGTTCATTTTCGATTAAAAAAAATGTTTATTATGGGTACATATTATCATTAAGTAGTGTTTGAAAAATCACTAAATTCTACCTTTTTGTAGGTCTGCGGAAAACAATGCTTCGCGCTCACAGACAGGCATGGTGCTGGCAAGATGAATGGTTTGGACTCAAACTCAGTGACATTCGACAGTTAGAACTTGAAACACAACTGGCTCTTGCTGCCAAAATGGCTGCCACCACAAACCACAACGAAGATGATGAACTGCAAGAGGAAAACCAAAATGAGATTGAAATAAATATTAATGTCAGACCGAAAATTCCTGTATCTGTCTCCAATCAGGAGATTGGATGTGGCAAACATTTTAATGACCAAGTTGTGGAGGAAGCCATTAATCCAAATTCTAATGTGTCACATAGACAGTCCTTCTCCAATTCTTCAAGGTCAAGGTCACAAGGTAATTAAAGTCTGTTGATATTATGTCAGGTCAGTCAAAAGTAGTCAAATTTATCAGTAAATGCAAGTCAGTTTAGCAGAGAGAAGTTGCCTTTATGGACAGGTGATCTTTATACAGAGGTTTGCTTTATATGTATTACATAAGGAAATGAAACAAGTGGCTTGTATAGACAGGATTTGTTAAGTATAGGTGGTCTCTGAATACAGGTATTTTTTATGCACATGCAACCTTTATAGACAGGTATAATGTACAAGTGGCCATTATAGACGTGTATTTTTTGTGTAAAGGTGACCTGTGTAGACAGGTAGTTTTTATGTACATGTGACCTTTATAGACATGTAGATTTTATGTACATATGGCCTCTAAAGACAGGTATTTTTTATGTATAGGTGGCCACTATAGACAAGGTTTTTTTACAAATATGTGACCTTTATAGACAGGTATTTGTGGCCATTATCAATATTTAAAACCTGTGAAATTATGTATTATTGTGGAGTTGAATTTTTGTTGTTTTCCAAAAAATGTTTTATTCCTGGGCATTTGATTTTATTGATAAATACAGGCCAGTATATGTCCTTTACCAAATGATATCAGGTTGTGGACATGTGAATTTGTAGATTAAGAGTACCCAAAAAATCAGTGAAAATTAATTCCTCATGGAAATGAATGATTTCACAGTATCTAGATCCACTTTGTTAAAAGAACATGCTATTTTCATTGCTAATTACACAATCTTGTAGGGGTATTTATGTGGCATTAATCGTATTCGAAGTAATAAGCCCCTTCATGTCTATTCAAGTTGAGTAGATTTACAAATAACTGCTATTTTCTGAACCTGCAATAAGCCCATTTGGAGAAGATAAATGTGAATTGACATATTTGTATATAACTTGGCTCGGTAGTAGATATGATACCAATTTCTGTAGGAAGATTATCTTGTTACTGTTACTTTAAAATCCATGAGAGAGGTGCAGGCCCTGTGAACCTCTTGTTTACTACAAGTGCTCAGATATTGATGGATATGGTACTAATTTCTGTATAAAGATCATTGTGCTTCCCAAATATTTTTGGGAGAACATATAGTGGCTGCTTTGTCCATTCATCCTTCCATGGCAAGAGCTTAACTTTGCCCACAGTTAAGCAATCACCATGAAACATGGTGTGTGCATTGGTCATGCTAACATGATGCAATCTAATATCAATGTGAGCAATACAGGTCCTCTAGGCCTCTTGAATATTAAATAATCATTGATGTTGTACCAGTTTCTGTAATAAATCATTTTGTTGTTCTCTCTGTAATATCCATGTACCAGTTTCTGTAATAAATCATTTTGTTGTTCTCTCTGTAATATCCATGTACCAGTTTCTGTAATAAATCATTTTGTTGTTCTCTCTGTAATATCCATGTACCAGTTTCTGTAATAAATCATTTTGTTGTTCTCTCTGTAATATCCATGTACCAGTTTCTGTAATAAATCATTTTGTTGTTCTCTCTGTAATATCCATGTACCAGTTTCTGTAATAAATCATTTTGTTGTTCTCTCTGTAATATCCATGTACCAGTTTCTGTAATAAATCATTTTGTTGTTCTCTCTGTAATATCCATGTACCAGTTTCTGTAATAAATCATTTTGTTGTTCTCTCTGTAATATCCATGTACCAGTTTCTGTAATAAATCATTTTGTTGTTCTCTCTGTAATATCCATGTACCAGTTTCTGTAATAAATCATTTTGTTGTTCTCTCTGTAATATCCATGTACCAGTTTCTGTAATAAATCATTTTGTTGTTCTCTCTGTAATATCCATGTACCAGTTTCTGTAATAAATCATTTTGTTGTTCTCTCTGTAATATCCATGTACCAGTTTCTGTAATAAATCATTTTGTTGTTCTCTCTGTAATATCCATGTACCAGTTTCTGTAATAAATCATTTTGTTGTTCTCTCTGTAATATCCATGTACCAGTTTCTGTAATAAATCATTTTGTTGTTCTCTCTGTAATATCCATGTACCAGTTTCTGTAATAAATCATTTTGTTGTTCTCTCTGTAATATCCATGTACCAGTTTCTGTAATAAATCATTTTGTTGTTCTCTCTGTAATATCCATGTACCAGTTTCTGTAATAAATCATTTTGTTGTTCTCTCTGTAATATCCATCCAGTTTCTGTAATAAATCCTCTCTGTAATATCCATGTACCAGTTTCTGTAATAAATCATTTTTTTGTTCTCTCTGTAATATCCATGTACCAGTTTCTGTAATAAATCATTTTGTTGTTCTCTCTGTAATATCCATGTACCAGTTTCTGTAATAAATCATTTTGTTGTTCTCTCTGTAATATCCATGTACCAGTTTCTGTAATAAATCATTTTGTTGTTCTCTCTGTAATATCCATGTACCAGTTTCTGTAATAAATCATTTTGTTGTTCTCTCTGTAATATCCATGTACCAGTTTCTGTAATAAATCATTTTGTTGTTCTCTCTGTAATATCCATGTACCAGTTTCTGTAATAAATCATTTTGTTGTTCTCTCTGTAATATCCATGTGAGTGATACATATTTTTTCAAGCTTTTGTTTTTTACAACTGTTATGACAGTAGTTGATGTATAAAAGTTGTTTACTTTCTCAGGCACTAACAGTCGAGATATATCAGCTTCCCGGATATTTGAAAGTTTAGAGCGACTTCAGGAATCAAGCTCGGAGTCAGAGGACGAATTCTATGATGCTAAAGGTACAAGTATAATTTGGTCATAATATTGGTTCTATTTCAGGTATTTTAGCAAAATGGAAAAGGTAACATTTGATTTTGAATGTGTGGTCAAGAGAGTTGTTTTATTTGAAAGCAATGAAACATCAAAATAGTGGTTTCTTGATTGAATGATTTTAAACATTTATTGAAAACTGTGAAAAATAATCAATTTTCCTTTTTATTATTTTTTTAAGGTCTAATTAATTCTGTTAAAATATTCCTGTTGTTTTTCATTAAAAATAATATCAGTATCTTTTTATTGATGATTTCATCAAACTGAAGATATATTGATTGGATGTGTGAGTTAGATTTGCCAGGTCTTCCAGTTTTTCTTCACTGTGCTTGTTCTGTTGTGGTGACAAATTCCTTGCATGTGTGTCGTGAAGTGTAACATGTTTTATATGGATTTAATTCTGACTGTTTGGAAATAAGACCAAAAATACAATTCTAAAAGAAAAAACATGCATCGTTTCTCTTTCTCTTTTTCTGCATTTTTTTTATTTGTGTAAGGCTTTGACAAATGTTTCAATGATACAGACTAATTAATATTAATTGCAAAATCAAGTGTTGCATTTTCATATTACATAATGAATATTAACATATAATGATTAATTGTTTAAAATGTTATTATTTAAGTCTACATCTGCAAACTAAAATTATGCTGTTAATTCTAACAAAACAAATATTCCTTTTTAAACCACAGAACAATGAAAGTAGAAAAAAAATAAAAGAAAAAGATAAAATGTCTGCATTTGTGGAATTTGAAGTTAAGGGCAGATAACTCTTGTCATTTTCTATCTGTTGGTGTGTAACCATACTGAGAGATAATTCTGCTTCATTTGACATTTTTGGTATTTGAATATTTGTATATACTATTTGAATGTTTATCTTAGACACAACTATAGAAATTTCTTTTGTTTATTGATATTTATTCATTCTTGTTGAAGTTGAAAATAACTATATTTAAGATGAAATAGTTTTTTGGATATGGCCTTCCCAGAATTATTCATAGTTGCATGGTTCCAACATGAGAATATATATATGATAATTGCATGTTACTCTATACCAATCATAATGGAATATGAAATGAAAAATGAAATGATTTTGAAATTTATTCGAAAATAAGTCATTTTCCTGGTGATTAATATGATATTTGTTATAGATATAAGATAAAAGATCAAAAATTCATATTTCACTGTAAGCATTTATCCTTTTGTTTACATATACATAGCATATATATATATGCTATACCTATGTCTCCTTTTCTTATATACCCTTTATCTGTTATTTCTGTATGCTTTTTACATTCGATATTGGAACTATAAATCCCAATGTATTCTATCGGGAAAATTCTGGAGCTGTAAATCCCAATGTTTTCAATCAGGAATATTCTGGAGCTGTAAATCCCAATGTTTTCAATCAGGAATATTCTGGAGCTGTAAATCCCAATGTTTTCTATCAGGAATATTCTGGAGCTGTATATCCCCATGTATTCAATTATATATATATCTTTGTATAATATTCACTTATTATCAGGAATCTATACTGTTTATTTCTTTTATATCTCTTAACTCTTTGCTTTACTTTATTATACATTACTTTCCTTCACTAATCATTGAAATTAAGTATAACTTGTTTTAAATAATGTTAGTCAAAGATATGTTTAAGACCATGAATTTTGTTTCCAAAATTATTCTAGGTTGAATTAAAAAAAGAATGTGAATTTTGCTTTAAAAAATTTTCATGACTTTTAACCAGAAAGAATATTTCGAAAATTGTTATTCCAGGCTAAACCAAAAAGAGCTTAACCAAAGATAAATGAATTTCCTTTCGAAAATTAGCTTAGGCTTAAGCAAAATGGATTGTGAATTTTCTTTTTAAAATCATCTTATGTCAAATGTAAAAGATCTGTAAGTTTTTTGAAAATCAGTCTATTCTGAATAAAAGAAGAATGGTTAATTTCTTTTGGCAAAAACAAAAAAGAAACATGGACATCTCACAAGGCATAACCAGAAAAAAAAATAGATGAAATGAATAAAAAGAAATCTTATTTCTAAAATCATTCAAGGCCAATTTAAAAAGTATTGTGAATTTTATTTCTAAAATTCTTCTTTTGGTAATGACTTTGTCTCTGTAGATCTCTAAGAAAAAATACATCTGTATTTTACTGAGATCTACTTTTGTTTTTCCTGTTATCACTGGCTTCTGGATATTTTGATAAATCTACCAGACACTATTCAAGTTACTCCACTGACTACAATTTAAGTTGGTCTAGTGACTAAATTTGATCTCAAAGTTGACTTTGTGGCTATATGCTATATACAATTTCATTTTTGCTAGTTTTCTGTATCCTATCAGCTGGTACATACAATTTTGTAAGTGATTACAAAATTATTAATCAGTGTTTGCTGTCATAATTTTCAAATTTTATTAGCATTCTGTGTTTCTGGACTTCAAGGAAGCTTTTGCTCCTCCTAGCCAATCAGATTCCTGTTTTCTTTTTTAGATTTAGTTATGGCTCAACCAAGTCAAGCAGATTCCTTTTTTCACTTTTAGTTGTAGCTATGGCTCGTCTTAGCCAATCCGATTCCTGTTTTCACTCTTCTAATTTGATTTAAAACCAGATGCCAGTTTTTGTGACTCTCAGTTTTCGTCTGACCTTGGGTCAGATTCTGATGTGGATTCTGAGGAAGAACGTAAGTAAATCTACAACGACAGGTCTGATTGGCCAAGATCTCAACCAATGAACATTTAAGATATGAAATATGAATGAAGATATTAATTATCTTTTGTATATTCATAACATTTTTCATTCTTTATTTCCTTTTTTCTTCTTTTTCATTTTTTTAAAATGTAAACATAGCACTGTTTGCAATATTATGTTTGAAACCAAGCTTTAAGGTGACATAGCACTTCTACACACATATTATCTTTCCTATTCATACCTTTTTTCAAGTCATGTTTTCCCTTTTCAGGATATTATTTTACCTGTGAAGTATATGTAGGAATTTTATCTAAAAGTCCAATGACAAAAAAAAAAAAACAAAAAACAAAAAAAACATTGTTTGCATCCATTTTGTCTGAAACATTGAAGGAGATCATTTTATCTTTTAAATTATTACCAAAAAAACTCATAAGTAATTTTCCTCTAAGATGAAAAGTTCACTGATTTAATATCTGTACTAAGATATACAAGTACTGCAATATGTTCCCCTGTATCTTTCCATACTGTAATTTACAATACAGTCTTTAATATACTATACAGATATTTTTTTTAATTTACTTTAACCTTTGTGTGTGCTACAAGTACTAAAATTTATCTTCTTTCTTTTAATAACAATAACAGATTTCCATTTGAAAATATTCACAAATTTCTGATATTAATTGATGTAAATATATAATATATATATTCCATTGGTGCTAGCTGTGGTTAATGGACATTTCAAGTTAATACTGTGCTTGGTGATCTGAATGCTTTATTATAAATATCATATATCATTAGTTAGTGCAAAAAAGATACATTGAAGGTGAAAAAATAAAGCAAAATAAATAGAAATGAGATATTAAATTATTTTTTTTTGTTTAAATCAAGTGATATAATGTGAATTTCCCAAATTTTATGTGTCATTTTACACACAAGTAAATATTGAATCCTATCACTACCAGTTATCTCCCCTTCCCTACCTGCCATCTATCCATGAGATATATTATCAGTAATACTGTGGAATTAACAGTTTCATGTACGCAAACTCTGGTATTTTTTACTGACAACAAATATGAATGAGGATTGTATGTAAGTTTGCTTTCTTGAGATTTTCTAAGAATATTTAATTTCACCAAGCCTCTGTTGGCATGGATTGAAAAAAAAAACCCATAGTGACATGTTTCACATATTTCATATAAAGTGGAAACAGATGTCAGATTCTGTTTATCACATAACTTTGAAAATATTCGTGAAAACAGTACTTTATTAGGCTGGCATTATTCTCATTTATATCTGTTTATATAGTGACATCTTTTAGTTAAATACCTTAACAATTATTGTTGATTTTTCAAAAAACTTTGTGTTCCATTTGAGAAAACAAAATCGCTGACCATAGATAAAACCTATAACCAATGTGTGATGTTGACATGTTTTCTCAACTAACAGTAAACTGAATTTTAATACAGTATAAGGGTTTTTTTCCGCTGCTAAACTTCAAATAGTTTTCAGAATAAAAGTTCTTTTAACAAAACCAGTAGAAGATATGAGTGTTTTGATAACTGCACAGTCATGACCATTGTGAAGTATTCTAGAACTGATATACATCTAGATTCACCAGATCAAAATGTGGAATTCTCCTTTTATTATGCAGAGATGAACAAAATGTTTTCTTCTCAAGCATTCCAATGATTATTAATGTAGTAATGAAGATTTTATCAGTGACCCAAGTCGATAGCACTGATAGAACATAATATCTGTGATAAAATTGTTTGGTGATGTGACCCAAAGTTTTCAGCTGCCTAGAGTTATGACCTGATAATTTTTTTTCTTAATGTAACATTATTTCAATGCCTCCGCTAGGAATCGAACCTGGGACCCCTGGCGTACTAGCCTGACGCTCAACCAATCGAGCTAAAGAGAAGTTCTCTATAGCCGAGTAGTATATTGCAGCTAGTATTTTACCAGGGTTACATGAATAATAACAATAAAGAAATAGATATTTTAATCCGATATATCTTATCAATCCAGCAGTAGGAATTAATTTCTAACTGAAGAAACTACAACTTTCATGCTTTGCATAGATGAGATTTCTTAAAGATCTTGATCAAATTATTAACACATAATTAATATATTATAATCTTATGAACCAGGGATCATGAAAAACAATCTTAAGCTTCAGTTCTTGTTTAGCTAATTACATATGGTGTCTCTCTTCATGACTTAATGATTGATTAAAATTTTATTGGTTTTCTCAAAAAAAAAAAAAAAAAATGGAACAATGGAAGTTCTTCCATACCAATTTTCTTATGTGACTTAGAATTATATCATTAAGATACATCAAGGGATTTTCTTTACTTAAGAAATAACATTAACCTGTATGTCCAGTAGTGTGAGACATCTCAGATAGAAATTCACTGAAATATATCATATGTATGATAAATTAAGTAGTAGTTGTCTATATCTTATTAGCTAGAAACTGCTGTAATGATTATGTATAAACATCTATCTGTCTTTCTATCTTCAGTAACACAATCTAATTCTAGACTTACAGCTGTAAATATACAGTATTCAAAATTCCAAAGAACATTCTCCAGAAGATTTTTCTTCAGTTTCAAATATCCTGGAAATTTCTCCTTTTCGTAATAATTAAAAATACTTAAATCTCACCCCTCAGAAAATTTACTTCTTTTGATGCTTGACATGTGTTCATTAATCTTTTATTAAATATATATTTTGAAAAGAAAACTTTACTTTGTAATGCTTAGAATGATTTTTTTATGAAGAAAGAAACTGTCATAAACCATAATCCTTGTTTATCAGTCCTGTCTTAATTTGGGAAAATCAATATTTTGAACTTGTTTTGATCAAAAAATTAGTGGAAATTAATTGTACATGAAAAGGAGGATAGGTCACAGTAATCTGAAGAATCTGTTAAAATTTCTTTTTCATAAACATTATTATTACTGAAAAGTAGGTGTTTTTTTTTGCTTATCTGTGAAAAATTTATAAAAAAAAAATGAAATATTTTATACAATTTTAGGTATGGAACAACATTTCCAATCTGTTTTGAAATTAAAAAAAGTACAAAATAGTATAATGGGTTTAAATTCATACAATTAGTGTATCCTTGGTTTGTGTGTTGTGCTCCACTTAGTGAATAAAGCATGGCTAATTTGTTAACCTTTTGCAGGTGTCATTTGCATATCTTGCTTTTCAGGGTCCGGAATGTAATTATAAGTTTTATAAGATATCATTTAAATAATTTAAGTAAAAAATAATCAGGTTCAGTATAAAAATCATAGTTTTTCTGAAAATATTATGAAAAAGATAATTAATATTCTTTAAAACATACTTATTGATTTATTGGTTTCATGGAAAATATTTTGAAAGATGAAGATATTGATATCAAACAACTGATTGTGATATTTAAAGGACATATTGATATTACATTTTGTACATTCTGAAGTACTTGTGAAAACAAGGATTCAGTGATTTGAAAAAAAATCTTGAATTTAAACAAAGTATAAGCAATCTGTTTGTAGGAAGATATAATAGTTTGTAGGTCAGGTAATAATTAGGTCACAGTGACTTTTTGTGGAGCTGTAATTACTTTGTTAAAAAGTCTCTCAACTTTTTTGTTGTAGAAGAGTCTGAAGGAGCTATGATGGTTCGATCTTCATCCAACGAACTCATCAACAGTAACGACGAATTTTCTGATGCTGTGTCCACCATGTCCTTTGATCCTAATGGTAAGTCAGGTTTCCGGCTCAATAGATAAAGATCAAATGTCAAAAGTATCATTTGGGATCAGAGTTCAAAGTGCAAAGCTTTGTTTTATCAATGCTGTATCACATGAGATGTTTTTAATGTTGACTGTTCTTTTTTACTTGTGTTGTTAATACATGTTATCAATTAGAGTGATCTCCCTTTTGTTGATTTATAACTTTTAAAACATGTTGAATGTATGAGTGATATTTTTGCCCAATAACATCAGATGGTAGGCTGTTCAAATTCCCTTGTGTCCATGATCTGTCGTCCATCCATTTGCTTGGCATGAAACAGTTCTTGTTATCACTTTTTATTATTTTAAGTAAATAAAATATTTCAATGAGTTATAACAGACATCTGCCTTATTTTCAGATTCTCCATTTGAGCGTCGCCTGACAAAGTATAAAATGCATTACCATGGTGACCGGCAGCAGGAGAAAGAGACATCTCCGCCTCATTCGGCTGGTTGTAAATCAAACATCTTGTTTCTGGTGCTTCATGGAGGTTAGTTCAGTTAGGGTATTATTGCAATGGTATTATCAATATATTTAAATAGCAAATATATAGAGGACTGTTTAATAGTTGACATGTTTTGGCATACTAGGCAGTTTAACAGTTCTATTTCTCCCTATGGATTTTGTCTTGTACTCTACACTTACTGTTAACACATCTTTGAACTGGACTCCTGTATTCCACTAGAAATCTATCCTAGGAGGTCGACGATATTACTGAATCCACCAGACTGGATTTTGGATCTCATTTTCTTTGTAATATATTTAATAATGTAATCAATATTATTTCATAGAACATGTTTTTCATCCTCATTGTTCAAAGTTTAACATGAATTAATAACATCTTTGCCATTCAGTAACCTTGCAAACCATTATCAAGCAAAGGCCATTATTTTATAATAAGGTCTTACTAGTCTTAACGCACAACTGATCAAGTTCAAGAGTAGTTCTCTCTAGCCGAGCAGTGTATTATGGCTAAATATATATCAGGATCAAAATTAATATTTTAATATCTTTTGATGATAACCTAAGTCCCTAATTTTAAATCAAAGATATGTTGGTCCTGTGGTCTTCCTTGAGGGAGAAATTATTGTACAGGCTTTCAGCTCCCAAGAAGAGAGTTTGGCCATTGATCACTCTGCAGTGATCGATATTTTGATTTTTTTATCATCTGAAATCTTGCTTAATAATTTGAATAAGCAGTAGATTTACAGGAAATCAAGGTTTTACTGTCGAAGGGATATTCCATCCAAGTTGCAAAACCTCTCACTCTACTTTAAGAACTCATTCTAATGACTTTAAATCTAATGTTAGGATAAAAAAATGTAAATATATCTAGCTAGATCTATAAAGCATTTCCAGAAATTAAATATGTTTGTTTAAATGGTAAATTGAGGTGTATGATTTCCATAAAAATCGAAGTTGATGATTTCATTCAATAACTAACTTGTGCGGCATATCCATTTAAATAAAAACATCAAAAAGGATGTAGAGCCAACGCCGTGCTTTTAGTAAAGTTTAGATGGGTTCTGAGGTCCCCTTGCTTGGATACCTCCAGGTATGCAGGGCGATTGCAAAATAGTAGGAACTAAGAATTAAGAAACAATAGCAACAAGCTAAGGGTTCCGAGATGATAATTTATTGTATTGTCTACCAGTTACGCCCGCAACATATGGGCTTCTTCAGAACCAATAAATAAAATAAATAAGTATCAAGTTACAAAGTTAGATGGCTTCTACTTATAGGGTTTGAATTTTGTTTTTTATTACATTTATGCTAGTGAATCATAGGATTTATCAATTTGATAAAAACTTACTTCATGGTGATACGAATAAACTTTCATACTTTTGATCAATCAGAGCAATGCATTCTAGTCACTACATTGAAATTCACCAATGGCATCATCTTTTTGTCAAGCTTAACATCAAACTCTCTGACATCAAAGAATTCTTCACACTTGTTAAAAATATAGATAAGCATGAAATATATATGATATTGAATAGGACACCATTTGATATCCTCTTATATACTGAACTTAGATGCTTTTTCATGAATTGTAGTGTGCCTTTCAAAGTGGAACAGATTATATAAACACATTCATGTTTGTGATTTTGAATAGGAAGTGTGTTGGACTCCAGTAACCTTGAGCAAGCTTCCAAGCGAGTTGACTTCAACATGATCAAGTCGACGTTTGAAACTGTGATACGTAATAATTACCCAGGAGCTCTTGGCCACATCGCGTTCCGTCTCGTCCCTTGTCCTCAGATTTGTACTGAGGCCCTCAGTATATTGTCCAGGTGAGTACTGAGTAGTTCCATATTGAAGTCATTATATGAACCTTAGGTCAGTGGTCAGCATGGAATTTACAACAGCATTTATCAATTTTACATCTCTGCAAAAAAAAAGGTCAAAGGTCATTAGCAATATTTGAGTTTTGGGTTAGGAAATTTAGAATTGAGGAAGGTCTTTCTCCTATTTGCAAATTTCTTGCTTTTTATTTGATGAAACGGATGTTAATTATTTTTTTCAAATCTTTGGAACAAAGACTGAAGTGTTGTTTCCAACTTGTCAGTTTTGGATAGAATAAGTCAATAATGAATCAGTTCTATGAAGAATTCCTTAATGTCTTTCGTGTTCAGGTCAACTCTATTTATGCACAAAACAGTTTAAGTTAAGAAAGCTTTGCCTTCAGTTTAGAAGTCTCAACATGTCAGATTAAATTTTGAAATTACCTGGAATAATGTATTCATATATTCAAGGTCATTTATCATTAACATTTAAGGGCCCTTTCCCCAATCACCACAATGTGCTTCAAGAAAATACAAAAACAGAAAAAAGAGAGAGAAAAACTGATTTCAACATTATCTTTTAACATTCTCATGATGAATATGGTTTTTTATTCTAATAAGATTTTCGCTTTTATTTCCAGTGTTAGTCCATACAGTTTTGAATCACATTCGCCCACCACTGGAGAGACTGGGGTGATTTGGACACAAGAGTTTGTTCCCCTAGGTGCCATTTCGTTATTTGTAACTTCCAACCCTGACTACCAAGAATATGTCAACAAGATGGTCGCAAAGGCCAATCTTATTTATCATGAATTTATGTTGTCAGACGAGGGTAAAGGATTTACAGGACAGGTAGGTTTTTCTATATTCTATCTTATTATGACCTGAATTGCATCTGGGACTTATTTCTGTCAGTCCAGTCGCATGCCTTTCTGGATAAATATCTTATGTTGAGAGCATCTTCACAGATTTGATTCCCATTTTTCTCATAAAAAATCATAAAATTAGGTTCATCACCTTATTACTTTAGAGTGATCATTGGTCAAGACTGAAGAGTCAAAGGTCGGTTTGTCAGTCCAGGCAGATCCCTTTCTGAATAAAAGTCCTATGTTGAGAACTTTTCAAAGATTTTAATTCTATTATCTCATAGTATCATAACATTATGTTCAGCATCTTATTAATTACATCGATCATTGGTCAAGGTTAAAGGGTCAAAGGTCACATTTGACAACTTCTGCAAATTCATCACTGTTACATATATATGTATGGGGCTGGGGCACCCATTTCTTATAGATATTTTCATTTTTTTGTCTTAAATTCTCCTCCAGGAAAAATTCTTCCATATTATACAAGTGTTTAAGTGTGGTTTATTTCAAGGATAATCTTCTTGATCACAATTTTGATAAATCTATAACATTCATTATACTTTTCTTTTACTGTGAATATGGTAAAGGCATCAAATCATTTGAATGAAGTTAGTTAACTCTGATACTCATCATCAGACTTTGTTAGGATCAATGTGTTTCACTAACTCTTGATATCAAAATAGGTCACTGTGACTGTTATTTTCCACTTCACTGGTAATGTTTCAACTTCACATCAGCTATGATTCATGGGTTTTTTTTATATTTTGAGCAGGGCATATTATTTTTAGCAGATATTTTCTTTCTCTTAAACATGTTATTATGAAAATGACTCCAGTAATTTGTTTTATTACTGAAATTGATTTATGTGAAGAAGAGTTTTTAGTATGAAAATTTGGAGTAATTTCATGAGAAATTTGTTTCTCTTTGTAGGTCTGTCTGCTTGCTGATGCTATGGGATCTTTATTAGGGTATGACGCCTTATGTCAAGCAAACCCAAACTACACCCGTGGCCTCAGTACCTTTGATAGTCATTGTAGCCTCAACGACCCTGACTCCTCAACTCTTCGTCAAGAGCAGGACCAAGACTCCACTCTCAAACGTGACGCTCAGCCAGAATCATCAAACCTCAGGCCAGAGAACGCTCAGAACTCTGGAAATACAAACTTAGAATCTTTGAGACAACTGAGTCACAGCGACCCAGATTTGTGCTTATCATCTGCAGGTTTGAGTGAGAAACAACTTAGTAAAAGTGATATTGGACCTGCAGAGTGCAAGCTGAGACGTCAGTGTTCTGCTAATGTACGTCCACAGCATACCCACCTCAGTGTAAGTGACAAGGAGGACTGTGGACGCAGAACTAGTATGGGCAGTTACAATGATGGCTCCCTAGTAAAGTTTGATTTTGATGTCTCGGATTTCTTTATGCTGGGTTCACCCCTTGGACTAGTTCTGGCCTATCGTCGAATGTTTTTTGGAGATGATCGTAATTGTGAGTATTGACGCAATTATAAAGACTAATATTTACAGTTTCTTTGAATAGTTCTTGAAGGGAATGCTTTCATCTTGTTAAGAACATAACTTGATTGGCGTCATTTTGACACTTATCTTTCTGCACTAAATGAAGTGAAACAATCTTTGAGTTGAGAACAGGCTTGGTTTAAGAGATATAATTCTGTGTTTTAATACCTTAATTTTATGGATTTGTCATACAAAGATCTTGATAGGTATGAAAGATTATATGCCATGTTCTATAAATAGACATTGATGCTCTTAATGAGTTCTAAAAATCAGCTTTGAAATACTTTCTTTGTTCTAAAAAGAAATACTTATGTACTTGCCATATTCTTTAAGAAGACATTTACTTATATAATTTCCTTGGTCTATAAATAGACTTTGATATACTCTCCATGATCTGTAAATAGCTGTTGGCTTATTTTCCTTGTTCTATAAATAAATATTGATCTCCATTCAATGTTTTACAAAAAGTTTCTTGCTATTACAGGGTGCCCATTCAGCCCAGCATGCCATCAGGTGTATAATATGATCCATTCAAGTGACCCGACAGCCGCTCGACTGGAACCAATGCTTCACAGTAGCTTTAAACACATCTTCCCCATTAAAGTGCCACGCTATACTAAATTTCCTGTCGGGGATGGAGAGCCTATACATGTTGGTAAGTGAGTCTGTCTGTTCAAGGGCTCTTTCGGAATAAAATTTCAATACCATTCAAACTTCACAAATCTTGCTGTATATATTAAGTTAGTGCCCTAGTTGTGCCTTTTCCTGTTGACAACATTTCATTTTTTTAACTTTTTCTGTTACCATGTAAACATAGTCAAAAAACACATAATTAGTGTTAACTTTCCTTTCTGGGCTTCAACTTTGAAAGCATTCCATACAACTCCACATAACTTTCTCTAGGTATTAGGTTAGTGCCCTAGATGTGCCTTTTTTATCGAGGACATTTTATTATTTATCTTTTTTTCTGTTAACATCAAATTTTTTTGATTTCTTGTGACTTATTGTATTACTGCTGAGCTTATAGAGTGTTGCATAAATTTGTTCATGGACAATACCAAGCTCTATTCAAATATCAGAAGTCAAACACACAGGATCTACATCAAGATACGAACTCTTACTATAAGGTTATATATCATAAGATATATATAAAATGTTGAATGCAAGGAAATTTAATTGATAATTGACAAAAGAATATGTTACATTTTGCATTAACTAGCACTTTCACGATATTATTAGATCATCAGGTGATAGTAGCGGTACTTATTTGAGTGATGTCACAAATATTTGGATATTACACCTGGTTGTGGGGGATAATGCCATGCTTTGCGACTCCTTATTTTTGTTTATTTTACCCCAAATAACCACCAACCTATAAAATTACCACCCATGGTTGACTGGTAGATCCTGTTACATAGTTTAATGTTGAGGTAAGTTTTCAATTCAGGGATAAAACTAGATTTGTTGTTTCTCTGATTTCAAATCGGCGGTTCAGTATTATCCCTTGTTTGTACACCTTTAGAGGGATTGAAGAATAGTGATAAAGTTGGAATGTTCAATCACATCAAACAGGCACGAGATCATACAGTGTGTAGGTTTATTTGTGGTGTATACTAGGTTTACCCAAACTCTTCATTAACCGTTAATTCCTGATGATGCACTGGTTAGTTATTTTTTTAACTAATTTACATTAATTGCTTTAATTATCATATGTTATTTGATCAAAAACTTGTTTTTAAGAATGTGGTCAAATTGAATTGTCAATTATTATAAATTAATTCAGGCCAGAAAAAGCCGTGTGAAGATTATCTCAGGGCCTGAATACCCATCATGCAATTTCATTCGATAACGAAAGTGTACTTTGATTTGCTTTTCTCAGGACAATTTAAGTATCGATAAATTCATCTTTTCTTTAAGTCTGAATTATATGATAATGATAAAACTACATCAAATTTCTGACTCTTTGTTCTGTTACAGTGGAGACGATACAGAGTAACTTGTCACTGTTTATCAATAATCGTCGAGGTTCCACAGGACCTAGTCTCCAGCGACAAAACAGCGTGTCCAGTGTGGTCAGTCAGATCTCTGGCCTTGGAGAGTCCATGGTGTGCAGTATCACAAACGGTGAGCACCAATCAGTGTTACCTTTGACAGTTCCTATATAGACCTACCATGATATCACCAACTCCAAAAATCTTCACCTTTGAACTTGCATTCTCTGATGAGAAAAAAAACAAAAAGCGAACCCAAAAAGGGAAACCAAAAGAAAAATAGAAAAATTTGTCTATGGCGTCGACAATAGCTGGTGTATTTTTACAACTTATAACTATATCAATATACATACTGTACCAAATTTTACGCACAAGTCATTATTTGAATTCAATTGACTTCTTTAGATGGCAGAATTTGGGAAAGTTGTCCATAAAGAAAATTAAGCTTTATTTATATATTGGAATGACCATGAAAATATCACATGATGATGTTGCCAGAGCCTGTTGACCTTGAGTGACCTCTGTATTTCAGTGACTAGTAAGTGGTGGGGAAATAAGCGTATTGATTTCACCCTCTACTGTCCAGAAGTCTTGCACTCCTTCCCTACATCAGCCTTGCCCCATCTCTTCCACTCCAGTTTTTGGGAATCTTCAGATGTAGCTGCCTTTGTACTTAGACAGGTAAGGTATTCTTAGGTGAAGATAGTGTTTTACAGCTTACTTACACAGGTATTCTTTGGGGGTGAATATAGTGATTACTTAAACAGGTAAGGTATTTTGGGGTGAAAAGAACTCCTATTTTGTATAAACCCTGGCCAGAAGGACAGAATTAGAATTTGGGGTTAAATCTTTAACATAATGTATTTAGATAAGATTTTGTCAAAAGCATCCATAGGTAAATGGGAATCGTAGTGAGTTTCAACCCAAACTGAGGGCAGATAGGCAGGGCCTAGAATTAGGCACATGGAGGCAAATATCTAAAATATTTTCTCATTTTGACTAATTTTGGTTAAGACCATCTATTAGTGAAAGATTTTTATTTTTGGGACATGTCATCTTGGAAATCTTGGGACAGTGCTGAATATTTGTAATAGGTCAAATATATTTGAGGATTTTCTAGTTATATGATTTGCTTTGAATTTTATCATTTGTTGTTCTTAAAGTTGTAAGATGGAAAATTCTGTGTAATGAATTATTTTGTCGTAAATGCTGAAGAAAGCATATGTTCAAATGCATGATGTTGTTATGTTGAAAGTTAGGCCTGCTTCAAATCATATGTTACATTTACACAGTATGTAAGCGGTACTGGCTTTCTCCTCTTGTAAATTCTATTTCATTACCTGGCGTATTGGCACCAGATGGTTAATAATCAATGTTATTGGTTTTACTTTAAAGGATCAAACTATAATTACATGTATGAGTTGACAGGAAAAAAAATTGTGAAATTTGTTTATAACATAAGTCAAAGTCAAATATAATAAAACCAGAGAAAATATGAACAAAAGAAATATTTACACAGAGACTTGTGAAAAAGCACAAAGTAGATAAGACAAGGTGTTCCAGAAGAGAAAGCATGTGAAAAAATACAAAGTAGATAAGACCAAGTGTTCCAGAAGAGTAAGCATCTTCTGCTTCATCAACAACACTTGTCATGTAAATCTAGGTTAATCCAAGTTAGTAATGTCACATGATCTCAAATGAGTATACAACAGACCCTAATGAGCATCAAATACATTAGGATTCAGAATGCACAAGGGAACAGGATGTATCCTGATGACACCATTATGACAAATGTAAATTTTTGCTGCTTTTGGATGAATTGTTTTATTTTGTTTTACAGATTTTACGCCATGACATCCTCAATTTGGATATGGATAAAGATCTGGATCGTCTGACAGTCAGTCCAGAATCTGTCAGTCTTCCTAGAGAAAAATGGTTAAAGCGAAGGACCACCATTAAAGTGAAGGTGAGTGTTTGATATAAACTGGGGTGAGAGGTCAATACAAGTGAAGGTCAGTGTTTGATATAAACTGGGGTGAGAGGTCAATACAAGTGAAGGTCAGTGTTTGATATAAACTGGGGTGAGAGGTCAATACAAGTGAAGGTCAGTGTTTGATATAAACTGGGGTGAGAGGTCAATACAAGTGAAGGTCAGTGTTTGATATAAACTGGGGTGAGAGGTCAATACAAGTGAAGGTCAGTGTTTGATATAAACTGGGGTGAGAGGTCAATACAAGTGAAAGTCAGTGTTTGATATAAACTAGGGTGAGATGTCAATACAAGTGAAGGTCAGTGTTTGATATAAACTGGGGTGAGCGGTCTTTGGAAGTAATTAAAATGTATATAAAAGTCAAATATTATAACATTGTAATGTTAAAGATTATCATTACTTAGGTCAAAGTTCAAGTGTGATTTCAATAAAAAATAGAAATTAATGTTACTTATTATTTACTTACATTGATAAGGCTATTGTATCCTTCTACAAAAACACCTTCATTTACATTCATCATTCGTTAAACACGGGGCACCAGATGATACAAACTGATCGTCAGTAGGGATGCTGTTGTACATTGCTAAAGCAATGAAATATAACACATTTATATGGATATTGTCACAGTATTTATATGGATATTGACACAGTATTTATATGGCTATTGTCACAGTATTTATATGGATATTGACACAGTATTTATATGGCTATTGTCACAGTATTTATATGGATATTGTCACATGGATATTGTCACAGTATTTATATGGATATTGTCACAGTATTTATATGGATGTTGTCACAGTATTTATATGGATATTGTCACAGTATTTATATGGATATTGTCACAGTATTTATATGGATATTGTCACAGTATTTATATGGATGTTGTCACTGTATTCATATGGATAATGTCACGGTATTTATATGGATGTTGTCACTGTATTTATATGGATAATGTCACAGTATTTATATGGCTATTGTCACGGTATTTATATGGATATTGTCATGGTATTTATATGGCTATTGTCATGGTATTTATATGGATATTGTCACGGTATTTATATGGATATTGTCACTGTATTTATATGGATATTGTCACAGTATTTATATGGATATTGTCACAGTATTTATATGGATATTGTCACAGTATTTATATGGATATTGTCACAGTATTTATATGGATATTGTCACAGTATTTATATGGATATTGTCACTGTATTGATATGGCTATTCTCACGGTATTTATATGGCTATTGTCACAGTATTTATATGGATATTGTCACTGTATTTATATGGATATTGTCACTGTATTTATATGGATTTTGTCACGGTATTTATATGGATGTTGTCACGGAATTTATATGGATGTTGTCATGGTATTTATATGGATGTTGTCACTGTATTTATATGGATATTGTCACAGTATTTATATGGATGTTGTCACGGTATTTATATGGTTATTGTCACAGTATTTATATGGATATTGTCACTGTATTTATATGGATATTGTCACTGTATTGATATGGATGTTGTCACGGTCATGGTATTTATATGGATGTTGTCACAGTATTTATATGGCTATTGTCACAGTATTTATATGGATATTGTCACAGTATTTATATGGATATTGACACAGTATTTATATGGCTATTGTCGCAGTATTTATATGGATGTTGTCATGGTATTTATATGGATGTTGTCACTGTATTTATATGGATCTTGTCACTATATTGATATGTATTTATATGGATATTGTTACAGTATTTATATGGCTATTGTCACAGTATTTATATGAATATTGTCATTGTATTTATATGGCTATTGTCACGGTATTTATATGGCTATTGTCACAGTATTTATATGGATATTGTCACTGTATTTATATGGATATTGTCACTGTATTTATATGGATATTGACACAGTATTTATATGGATATTGTCACTGATATTGTATTGTCACAGTATTTATATGGATATTGGCACATTATTTATATGGATATTGTCACATGGATGTTGTCACAGTATTTATATGGATATTGTCACTGTATTTATATGGATATTGTCACTGTATTTATATGGCTATTGTCACAGTATTTATATGGATATTGTCACTGTATTTATATGGCTATTGTCACATTGATGTTGTCACAGTATTTATATGGATATTGTCACGGTATTTATATGGATATTGTCATGGTATTTATATGGCTATTGTCATGGTATTTATATGGATATTGTCACGGTATTTATATGGATATTGTCATGGTATTTATATGGATATTGTCACGGTATTTATATGGATATTGTCACTGTATTTATATGGATATTGTCACAGTATTTATATGGATATTGTCACAGTATTTATATGGATATTGTCACTGTATTTATATGGATGTTGTCACTGTATTTATATGGATATTGTCATGGTATTTATATGGATGTTGTCACTGTATTTATATGGATCTTGTCACTGTATTTATATGGATCTTGTCACTGTATTTATATGGATATTGTCACAGTATTTATATGGATATTGTCACGGTATTTATATGGCTATTGTCACGGTATTTATATGGATATTGTCATGGTATTTATATGGATATTGTCACTGTATTTATATGGATGTTGTCACAGTATTTATATGGATATTGTCACAGTATTTATATGGATGTTGTCACTGTATTTATATGGATATTGTCACTGTATTTGTATGGATGTTGTCACGGTATTTATATGGATGTTGTCACGGAATTTATATGGATGTTGTCATGGTATTTATATGGATGTTGTCACTGTATTTATATGGATATTGTCACGGTATTTATATGGATGTTGTCACAGTATTTATATAGTTATTGTCACAGTATTTATATGGATATTGTCACTGTATTTATATGGATATTGTCACTGTATTGATATGGATGTTGTCACGGTCATGATATTGATATGGATATTGTCACAGTATTGATATGGATATTGTTACAGTATTTATATGGATATTGTCACAGTATTTATATGGATATTGTCACAGTATTTATATGGATATTGTCACATGGATATTGTCACAGTATTTATATGGATGTTGTCACAGTATTTATATGGATATTGTCACTGTATTTATATGGATATTGTCACTGTATTGATATGGATGTTGTCACAGTATTTATATGGATATTGTCACAGTATTTATATGGATATTGTCACAGTATTTATATGGATGTTGTCACTGTATTTATATGGATATTGTCACTGTGTTTATATGGATATTGTCACTGTATTTATATGGATATTGTCACTGTATTTATATGGATATTGTCACTGTGTTTATATGGATGTTGTCACAGTATTTATATGGATATTGTCACAGTATTTATATGGATGTTGTCACTGTATTTATATGGATATTGTTACAGTATTTATATGGATATTGTCACATGGATGTTGTCACAGTATTTATATGGATATTGTCACATGGATGTTGTCACAGTATTTATATGGATGTTGTCACATGGATGTTGTCACAGTGTTTATATGGATATTGTCACAGTATTTATATGGATATTGTCACTGTATTTATATGGATATTGTCACAGTATTTATATGGATATTGTTACAGTATTTATATGGATATTGTCACTGTATCAAAAGCAAACTCACACATTACTCTGATTTCGTTGCCCATTTTTCCCCATCATAACTGATACAATAGAGATGGTAATTTTACAAATGGAAAATGCTATTCCATGTAAAGGATTAAACCATTGGTTATTGATAATTTGTTTTCATTTTATTTTCATTGGGCAGTGAAATGTGTAAATAATTTGATATACAAGCATTGAAAAGACTTATTGTATTCTGGTTGATGTCGATAACCAGGTTTTGTCACTAAGTGCAATGTACTTTGACAATGCAGTTTGATGCGTGTAGTGATAAATATATGGTTATATATTAATAGTTTTATGTTTGTTGTCTGTGTTTAGAATCTGCAGCCAAATCACCGTGGTAATGATGTCATCGTTATGGAGGACACAGATCAGGAGCTCAGTGCCAGATTTATGTATGGTTCCTTTGATGTTACCTCATTGTCAGGAGAAAAGGTAAGAGGTCAAGTTCACATGCAGCAAATTCTAGGTTGTGTTCATTAGGGTCAAGGTCAAATATAGCAATGTCAGGTACAGGAAGGTGAAGGTCAAACATTAAGATGAAGGTCACATACAGTGGCATTCAGGGCACATTTAGCAAGTCCAAGGACACATACAAGGTGAAGGTCATATATAGTAACATTTACATCGCATATATCTATGTGATAGTCACATTCAAAAGATTGTCATGCAAAGTTGATGCTGGTGATTGGCTCATCTGGAAGTCTGCTATTTTCAAAGTTTAGATGAAATAATTCTTTATGTTCCATTTCGTTGGATATACATTACTGATAATATCTTATTGTCTCCCTCACTTTCACATGTGCATTCTCTTCTTGACTTGGGAAAGGCAAGCATTCCTTGTCCTAAGGGAAAGGACCAGTCACACATGCAAGTGTATGTCGTCACTGTATAACTTTTGGAATGTGTTATCAATGTTATCAATTTAGACACATTTCATGTATGATTTAGTGTAACTTTTATGTATAAAGTTTACAATAATAACTTCCCATATCTTATCATTGCAACAGCTTCTATAGACTGTGGATGAAGTTAGTTATCACAACCTTTTGCAAGCCTTTTGAAAGTATCATCTTTGAGGTGAAAAAAAAGTGTCCATATCACACAGAGGTGAAACACCTTATCATTGTCTTACCCTGGACAGGTCAATCCTTTTACTTGATGTATGATTTTGTGGCCTCACCTAACAGTTTACATTGATATCCATCATTCATATTTATGATGGTGTGAGGCTTTGGGATAATAAAAACATACACCTGAGGAGAGGAGTGGGGAAGAGAAAAAGAAGCATTTACGTCCTTGTAGGTTTGATAGGGGAAACTCAGCTGTAACGGAAAGTCAACTTAATAATCTTTCCCAGAGGGTTGAGATTCAACAATATCACCTCCCTGAAGTGGAAGAATCTTCGTATTAGTCTACTATTGTTGTGATCCAGTATTTCACATATCATTATATCATTAACCCTTAAATTTTAGACTGTACCATTGTGTTAACTTTGATAGGTGGATTTCAAGTGATGAACTTTATCATTGTGTTAACTTTGATAGGTGGATGTTCACGTGATGGACCAGTCTACAGGGGAATGGAAGTTTCTTGGCACTGCAGTTACAGACAAACATGGCCGCCTCAACTACACCATCCCAGAGGAAAAACGCCTACATCAAGGGATGCATTCTGTCAAGATTGTCGTAAGGTAGCCATGTTTACAGATTAATCCTGATTTTGTTGAACTCTGATTAGACAAATAATTATTTATCTGAAGTACACACCTTTATAATCTTATCTTGTATAACAAAAAAATTTGCTTATGATGTTTAGGGAAAATATGCTCTCTGTAAAAACTTTGATGCAAGTGCATTATTTTGAACAACAAATTAAAATTACCTTAATTTTTTTCAATAGCATTTTTTGTTAAAAATTAAAATCCTGTTAGAATACTTATGACTAGTCATCAGGTCTTGTGTTCAGATGTGTTGTATTGTATTGTGTATCTTTCAATTGTATCATCCGTACTTTTCAGATGTGTTATAAATATTGTGTACCTTTGTGTCATCAGTTCTTGTGTACTTTTCAGAAGTGTTATGACAATTCTTCTTTAATGTATCATATTAAAAAAAGTGAAATGAAAAGGTTTTATAATATATATAGAAAGGTAAACTTTACAGATACCATAACTAAAATGCTTCTGATAGATTGATTGAAATGCTACATTAGTGTTTTTTTCACTCCATAACTCTTTCTGTCACGATATTGCAATGCTGATGATGCCTGATTGAAACCATGGAAACCTTCAGCCAATCACAACAAAGCTATATATTACAAATGTGTCACAAAACAATTAGTGGAACAGATTTAATGACTGCAACAGTAGGTATGTGATAAATGAATTTTTAACATTGTGAACATCTATGATCTGACAGAGGAGACCACAGCTGTGCCGATTTCTTCCTGACAGTCTTACCACAGAAGACAGAGACTGTGGTATTTAGTATTGATGGCTCGTTCACAGCCAGCATGTCTATATCAGGTCGTGATCCCAAGGTTAGGGCTGGAGCAGTCGATGTTGTAAGGTAACAAAATCTTCTCAAAAGCCTTTTTTTCCAAATAATTAAATTGAAAAATAAAACATCTCTTTTTTATTTTAATCTTGATATAATGATTGAAAAAAAATCAAAGATGTAATTTTAAGGATTTAAATGGTTTTTTGCTTATGTCAATAAAACCAAGCAACAAAGATCTGAAGACATTTAAGACTTGAAGAAAAGACATCAAAACCTCTATTTCACCATGTTGTGTTATACCAGGCATTATCAAGACCAGGGTTATCTGATCCTGTATGTGACGGCTCGTCCAGACATGCAACATCGTAAGGTTGTGTCATGGTTGGCCATGCATAACTTCCCTCATGGCATGGTGGCTTTCATGGATGGCCTCTCAAAAGAACCACTCCGTCAGAAACTCAACCATCTCAAAGGATTAGTGTCCAAGGTGAGACAAAAATCTTTTAAACAGAGGCAGATATCAATAAAGATTGTCATTCCACAATTTGAATGGGTTGAACCAACGATAAAGATAATACAATTATTAAAAATGTTAAAAATAAATACATCAATAAAAGTACAAAATAAATAGATAAATAAATAAAATAAATAAATAACATTTGATCATGTTTGAAATGTTCTGAATGAAATCTTTACACAAGACAGTAATCCAAAAAGACTTTCTTTATTTAAAAACACTGCTTTAACATAAACTTCTGATTTTCTTAATTCCTTTTGATAAAACTCTCTAATCCAAAATGATTTATTTAGTACTTACTTACACAGATCTGAGTCAGGAAAGTGTTTAACACAGATCTGAGTCGGGGAAGTGTTTAACACAGATCTGTGTCAGGGAAGTGTTTAACACAGATCTGAGTCCTGGAAGTGTTTAGCTGTTAATTGATTTGTTTAAGGCTGGTATCGTGTACAAGGCAGCTTATGGCTCAAACAAGGACATCTACGTGTACCGGGAACTGGGACTTACATCTCAACAGATGTTTATCGTTGGCAAGGCTTCCAAAAAACAGGCGGGACAGGCTCAGGTAGACTAATTGTTTTAGGGCAGATTGGAGGATGGAAGTTGGGGGGACACTATCAAACTTCTTGAAAGTAAAAACTTAGAGTTAAAGGCTCCTTATATGATAATGAAGTACCATTGGTTTTTTATTTTACCATATGGAAATAGATTTTAATTGGAGACAATAGTACCAGGCATGAATTTATCACATGATAAATATTATTAGGATACAACCTACCTTAGCTTTCAAACATATAAATTGTGATTTGTGATTATGATGTCATAATTCTGCTTTGTGAAACTTTGATTTCAATTAATTTTACTGTATTTTTGACATATCCATCACAAGATTTCAAAATCATAATGGCTACTTATATCTGTTATGATGTATCCTGCTCTTTTATTTTTGTGTTTTTGTTTTTGTTTTTATTTTATTTTCATTTTTGTTTGGGTTAGATATAAACTTTTCCTTTAAATAGTTAAAAAAGTTGATCAAGCAGTAATTTACTTGTTTTTACAAGGACAGGTTTGGGTTAATCTTGTGTGTATCTTTCTATTTAAAAAATAAAACTGGTACAGAAAATAAAAGAAATCACATTGATTTTTTTTTCTTTTTGAGTTTTAATTTATTTGTCTCTATTGTGTATTTTTAAAACAGATATTGTCCGATGGATATGCTGTCCACTTACAGTCATTACAGCTATTAGGGCGTTCTGCTGTGGGGAACGCACGCATGTTTATAAGAAAAGGGTGTATGACAGTCCCCAATCAGAGTGAAGGAAAGAAAAGTGAAGGCAAGCGGGCTGTGAAGAGGGTCTCCTCAAATTCAGCACCAACGAGTGGTGGTGATTTCCTCAAACCACAGGATGTATTGATAACAGTGGGTGACACTGGTAATACAATCGTTCAGAACAGTCAGGCAGATTTCCGTACCACAGCCCGTGCTCGAGGCTCCTCGCCACGACCTAAGGTGCCACTGTCGACAGATGTGCCTCGATGATTGAATGTTATGAAAAAATATTGACACTGTGTTGCACACTTCCGAAATGTAAAGTAGAACTGTCGACAATGTACATTGCATTGTCAATTTGCTATTGAAGACAGCTTCAGAGTTAAGGGCACAGTGAGACATATCCTCAATACTTTGGTGGTGTATTCATTGGGTTTTATACCCGTTAGATACAGGCGTCTTAAACAGTTGTGGCTAGTTGGAACCACTGGCTAGTGAATCTGAAGGCATTTTTACAGACAAGGTTAACAGTGTCTTAGACCTTGTGAACAGGAGCATTAGACAGGTCGTGGACCATTAAGTGCTCTCAAAGACAACTTTGTCTAGTCACGATATGTTATAGAGATCATGAATTTATAGTGCTGTTTGGTTAAACAAAGAAATTATAAATTCAGGATCACTTGAATCATTCAGCAGTGAATATTTTACCTAACAGTCCTCAAATTATCTTAAACTATTTTATCTTTATTCTTTCGGTTTTTTTCCCCTCTATTTCAACAAAAATAATGTGAAGATTGTAATTTTCAAAGAGTTTTATTTTCAGCTGTTTTCAAGGATGGAATAATAGTGCAAAAATTCAATAAAAATTAGTTAATTCTAAAATTTAAACTGATAAAGAAAATTACAATCCTTTTCATAATTTGTCTGAAAAATATATCTATTTTTCAGCAAGATTTTGGTAAAATCATGAAAATTTTTACTATTAGAAAAACAACTTTGACATTTATGTCAATTATTAATTCAAATTTATATCTTGTAAAATTCTGATAGTTTTTTTTTTTTTAAATGTTGTTTTGTAGATAGATATAGTTCAATAAATCTTATTAGACTAAGTTCTACAGTTTAAGGACATATGAGTACTAACAAGAATAAAGCCTCCTACAAATTTTTACAGAATTTACAAGATTTATCTTTGTCTTGTTCAATGGTTCATTTTCAACAGACAGCATTTCTGCAAGTCATATCAGTGTAGTACTATATATGGTCTTACCGTTTTATTTCTGAAGATTGCGTTCATCAAGTGTTTTTTATACATCTGCAACTTCCTTCAGCCGTGATAAAAAACAACACGGCTGTGTAGGTATAAATGATTCACTTCATGTTATTGTTACCTAACATGAAACTTCAAAAAGTTTCAAATTCTGTCATGATAATGCCATCTGTTGTTATAGTTTATTTCTCTGATTTGTTATAAACCCTTGTATTAGATGAAGGGTAGATTTGTTTCATGTTATCAAACTCCTATTGGTCAACATAAATGTAGAATGATTGTTTGTGGTCATCTGTTTTGTTGTGTACCCAATGTACTTTTGACCCAGTTGTCTAAACAAAAGTTAGGGCACATGATTAAGTTTATAACTGTTAGTTCTAATTGATAGATAATTTGATCACTTTTTCATTTTGAAAACATATCTATATATATTATTTATCTACAGTAATTGTAAAATGTGTTATTTTCTACATAAGAGCTCATCGATCAAGTGAAAAGATTGTTAGTAAAATCTCAATGAACTCGATTTTTAATCATTTTCATTCTGACTAAATAAATTTTCTTGGCAAATTTTTTTTTTTAACTATTAACTCCACAGTTCTTCTCTCCAAATTGGCAAAATTAATCTGCCCCAGTGTTTTCCAATTAAGTAATAATTAATGCACTTCACTAGGTTTTGGCTGAGGATGTAAATTGAAATGAATGTTGTTCAGTTTAGTTAAAGAGTATGTTTAAATGCATCAGTGGAATGCCTATATAAAAGAAATTGATATCCTAATATTAGATATTAGATGCTCATTAACACTTAATAATGACTGTAAACTGTCAAACACATTCTAGAGGATACCAGGTTTGTTTGAAAAACACTCTTACCAAAATGCAGAGCGTGTATTAAGATAGTAAGACAGCCTAAAAATGTTTAGAATAAGACCGGAAAGGAAAGTCATTGTCAAGTCTTTTGCCAGTAATTCTACTGATCTTGGAACATTGTAAAGTTAGGATACGGTTTCTAACTGTGCTTTTCCAATGCAGAGTGTAAAAGTACATTTTTAGAATTTTACATGAAATTATAAAAAATAAAAAATGAGATAGAATCTAATATTTCTAAGTATATCCTTGAAAAGACATGACAAAATTAGTAGACATAAAATGAAAGAAGTGGGTGGACTTTATGATTATTAGATGCATTTTTGACCTTTTGCTTAAAAAATGAACATGAAGTTCATTATCAATCTCACTTTCAGTTTTCCATGTATAACAGTCAAAAATTATCTTTTTGTGTGATCTTTATCAATCTAGTTGTCTGTTTCGTTATGTCTTTAATGTTGGAAACTTTAGAGTTGAGCTAAAATATATCTGAAAAAACATGTTCAAATTCATATAAAAAGTCCAGTTTATATATATATATATTTTCCATCAAAATCATTACTAAACTGCAATTTTTCCCAGTTTGTGCTAACATATCTTCTTTGATTGTTTACCACATGCTTTTAGTTTTATAGGTATGAAAAGATTTGATTGGTTGATATAACATGTTGTTTGATTGGATGTTAGAACACTTTATTTGATTGGTTGTTATAACACGTTGTTTGATTGGTTGATTTTTGTATTACTCAATATGTCGCAGACCCATTGATATATTTATTGTATTGTTTCACAAACACACTTTTTTGATATAATATATACAAATTTATGACAGCATATTACTTCAAATAGGACCCTCTCTCTTCCAACTTTTGGAAGTAGTTGGGGTTAATGACGAGTAACCCTCCCTCTTATTCAAACCAAAAATTGAAGAGAAAACATTGAGTATCTTTTATGATATAAATTGTACTCATTCTCTGATATGATCTGTGTCTATTTCTAACAAAACAGGTTTTATTTAAACATTTTCATTAAAATGAAACAGTGTTTTTTAAATGAAAAAATAAAGTAGTCCATATTTTAACTTCTCTTGACAACATTAGGCATGAGAGGGTGAACTGTGGACTTATTAACCTGTCTATATATTGATATTTTACACTAGATGTTAGATGATATTAAAAACAAATTAAAGTAGAGAGCTGTTTGATTGTGAATATTGAAATAATAAAACAAATTTAGGATTTAGAAGTTGTATCTATACATATAAACTTCATTGGAGGAACATTTACATATCAGGAAAGACAAGCATTATATAGGAAACGAACAAATACGCAATATTTATTCATAGGAACATTTTTTCATTCAATTTGTTGTAATGTTTCTGAATATATCTTTTTTTTCAAAGCAGGTTGAAGTAAAGATTGATTTTAAGTGGTGTCCTATTCATGCAATAAAGTTGGGCATTATCTTTATATCAGTGCATGATCTCCTCAGCACACATAATTAAAATGAACGATTTTCAGCATTACGACTAGAGTTATGTTTGGTGATAGACTTTTAAGTCAGTTTTTTTTGGTAGGAAAATCAAGCAACACTATCTATTTAAGCATTACCTGAATTAGTTATAGTATCAATGAAATGGCTGTGATAAAATTGCTACTTTTAAGGGAGGTCTTTATCGCCAGCCCGCCACCTCAGGGTCGCAAGTTTGAGGCCAAAGATGGGCAGTTGCCAGGTACTGGCAGCAGATTGGTGTTTTTTATGAAGGAACAAATTTTCATCACTACGCAAACCTGATACCTCCTTAAATTACCCTGACTGTTAATGTAAACAATAAGAAACTCAATTACTTGTGAAAACTGTAGATTTTGTAAGTATTTGCTGCAATAATTGTAAATCTCTAGTCATGTCAACTTCAGGATACCAGTTACATGTAACTCAGGTTGATGAAATAACGAGAACGTGAAAGACAATAGCGAATTTATAATTTACATATAAATGTTTACTGTTGTAATCTATCCTTTCTATTCAATGAAAGAAATTATACCCTATTTACAAGTACATACAAAAAGTTTTGTGGTTCCTATTGTCGATATTCATAAGTAATTACCAATAACAGGTTATTCACCGACATGAAAACAAGGAATTGATCATCCTGTATTGATGTGCCACAAAAAATCCCACAGGTTATGAAGATCTGATTATACATAAAACTGAATACATCCATCTGACGGATGAAATTAAATGAAAATTATAATTCTAGTCACCAACATTTTGTATATTAAAATTGTGTTCACATCTTTTTGAGTTTTCCTAGAACTTGCCATAGTTTTGTTTCTAGCATTACTGAAGGATTCCAACAAAAGTTATTTGATTTTTAAGAAAAAAAAACAAAAAATAGGCAAAATTCATATTTAAAAGCTCCCTTTCCTTTTTGTATACTTTTTAAAGTCTACGACTTTTATGTAATACAGCTTTATTCATGCAAGGACAAAAAACTAGAATTTTCCTGTTACATACGAAGATATGTTGTTTCTCTTCGTTTATTTGACTAGTTGACAATCAATCTTGTAGCTGTGTCACATGTTCTGTTATCTATTGTGAGATATATATTTATTTTGTGTTTTGTTTTCTAAACAAATGACCATGTAAACGTACCTCAATTTTGATGTAAATTATAGATTTGTTGCTATATCATTCAATGATACACAAAATACATTTGTACTTAAAACAATCGAGGTTAAGATGGAACCAAATTAGGAGATAAACTTAGATGAAATAATCTTTTTCTCTAAAACAGATATCTGTGTTCTATTTACAAATAATATATCTGTAATAGGACACCCATGTTCGAATTTAATTTCCTTACCGATTTGTTGGAGATAAATGGCATTGTTTTGTTTTCTTTGTGTCCTGGTGAACAATACATAATTTTAGATGCATTATCAATATTATTTGCACCTTTTTTATCTTATATTATTTTATCTTATAAATTTTGTATATTATTTATGTATCAGCAATACTTTTGAAATATAATTATTTATCATATATCCCATTCACATACTATTCCCCCCTAAAACTCATTAATTATACTTTGAAACAAAAGATATTTGACGGTGTATCCCTATAGTCATTT